TCAGAAATCGGAACATGGACATTTTAGCTGGACATTTTTATCGTACTATTTTAGACATTTCGACTTTGGACTATTATAACTTTTTTTCTACAGCACCTACAGTAAAAACAAGCATACTTTTCTTATGTAATTTGGGTATGCGCTATCGATTGAGCCTAACAACAACTCAATCGGCCCAGCCGTTATTGAGATCCGATAATCTCGGCTCGTCTCAACTTTCGGGCTCGCGTAAAGATACACGGTCGGTCTTGCGCTGCGCGTGAACTTGGCGCGAGACACTACCGTGTCTCTTGATCGGAGGAACGGTGAAACAGATTTCAATCTAAACTTTTATTTCACATAAAATGATTTAAACATTCTTAACAGCTCTCGTCTGATGCGATGACAAGTAATAATTACTGTAACTTCCAATTCATATATAATGACGATATATCGCGTGTCTCGAATCACGTATATTGAAAGATGCTTTCGCGAAATAAAAAATGTTGGAAAAAGACACGAGGCATGCGTTCACCGCCGGAGAAAAAGCTGTCCCTCGAGAGAGCGAAAGATTCCTATGGAAACAAGAACTCGGACTCGTCCTCGTTTCACGGCGCAATTGCCACGAGCAGACCGTGAACATCATTGGTCGGCGCTCTCACGACGTCTCTCTGAATTTTTCATCCTCCTGAATAATGAATTAAATGGTTCATGGCGACCCTCCGGCGCGGAGGGCAGTGGTGCGTGTAGATGGACACAACTGCGTGCAACACAAAGATTCGTGGGTGGTCCCGCAAGGCTGTTAGAAAAGTCTGCGGAAGTGACCATCGCTTTGTATCCTGTTACGTTAAGTCTTCTCCTCCCGGCCGTTTCGGGGACCGTGGAATGAGCGTCGCGAGGGGGTGGAGGGCAACGGAGTGACGGCAGGATGGAGTAACGTGGGGGAGGACAAGGTGATAATTTGATAAGACATCGGGAGGGGTTGCCATGGAGACGATACAAAACCCAGAGCCTCGACCGGAACCCTCCAGCAGGCGCTTTCTCTCCTTCGTCGCTCTCTCCACCCTCGAGAAACCTACTCCTTCAAGACTTCGCTCCATCAGCCCGTAGACACCGAAGTGTCAAGTGTCCTGCCGCCTTACGCGCGAGTCTCCTTTCTCGCTTCGGACCTCAGTCGCACGTAGGACTGCGACGCGTTCGACATTGATGCGTGCTGTCGAGGACAAATACGCAACGGATACGAGAGAAAGAAATAATCTTAATTTGTTCTTCAAAGAAATGTGAATAATATTTCTGCAAAAAATTGTCGTCGATGCTTTAAACGTAAATGACTTCTAACTTCTATAATTATAGCACAGAGAATACATTAAAAATGTTGACGAAAAATTCTCGCCACTTTAATTACAATCTCGAAAGAATATTCCATCATTCTGTAATCAATAGTTCAAGTAGCTTTTCGCTGGACGAGATGAAATGACCCACCCGTGTCCCGCGCAAACTCCGCGTTGCGTCACAGCAAAGTTCTATTCCAAAATTAGGAAGGCCACGATACTGCCCCCCTCCCCCCCCTCCACCAAATTGTGGGAGTAAAGGACGAGAAGGCTGCAGGAGAGACGGGAGATAGGGAAGCACCCCGAAAGACATTACGATTATTACCGAGCGAAGCTCACAATGTGGGACTCGACGGCATCTCTGAAATGCACTGGCCACATGTGCTGTATTCAACCGAATCCTCTCGCAAGGATTCTGCCGTCCAGACGGTCAGCTGCATTATTTATTGTACCGACTTGCCAGACTAATTGATCCTTTACGTCCCCTCAATAACGATACCCATCGGAATCACGAGCGCGATTTTAATATAACGTCCGACAGCTTAACGAGCTGTCCAAAGATGGGATAATTGCATACCGAGCGAATTCAATCCGCGTAATTTTAGCATTTCGGTCCGATTAAATAAAGCGATGTAAGAATATTTAGTCGACGGGCTAAAAGTTTCGTTTATAATCATGTTTGTGTATAATTGATATTTTTATCAAAAGTCTATGAGTTTATGTTGCAATTATTTGCGGAGTTAAAGTGAAAAATAACGCGTGATAAATAATTAATCGTTTATGTAGCGCACATTAATAATTTTGAGTTCGCTAAACTTTTTCACTAATTGCGTGAAATATAAGTACGGAGAGATTAAATCTGTCGACTTTAACGAGAAATAAAGATTTGTAAATCACTCACCGGTGTGTATGTAGGTGTGCTTCTTCATGTCGCTCTTTTGGTGGAATCGCTTGCCGCAAAACTGGCAGGGATATGGTCTCGTGTCTGAATGAATTAGAAGGTGAGTGCTGAGGGTGCTGGATCTCTTGAAGGCTTTACCGCATTGCTTGCACTCGAATACCTTCTCCGCGGAGTGCACAGCTCTGTGCTGCGTGAGGCTGATTTCGTGGCCGAAGGTTTTGTTGCACAGCTCGCACGCGAATGGTCGTTTGCCGTTGTGCGATCGTCTCGCATGTACCTGTACACGCAAATTGACATCTTTAAGCATCCTAAAATACACAGCAAAATGTGAATCAACGACCGCGGCAGCTTAGAGAAGCCTGCGGCAACGAAAGCAAACAATTCGGATGGAAAAATACATGGAAAGCAGGTTAGAAATTATTTTCTCACAAACAGGGAAAGATGTTTTTTTGCACAATACAGATTGTTTAGATATAAAAATAAAAAGATGATACTTTGGACGTAGAAATTACCGCAGCGCATAAAATTCACAGTAATAAAGTCGTCAGAATGCACAGAATGTACGCGAGTGTACGTCAGCGTCGAGCAAATCAGAAATGAATCAAAACAACCGGCAGAATTGTGAGTCTGGGAAAAAAGTGCACGCCGAGCGCGTATGTGTGTATGTACCTCGAGACCATGCGGCGTGCTGAACATCTTGTCGCATTTGACGCAGCTGTAAACGTCGCCGAGCGGATGAGGATGATGCAGGCCGTGCGCCGTGTGTGTCGAATGCAATCCTGGATGACCCGGATGAACGCCGCGCAGCAACGGGTGCAGGTGCGGCGGCAGAAGATGATGCGGCAGCAGCTGGGGGTGCAGGTACGAAAGAGGATGATGCGGATGAGGCGGTAGGAGTCCGCCCTGAAGATGCAGCGGCGGATAGAGGATGGACGAGCCGGGTGGCGGCGGATGAGCGCCCAAGGAGGCGGTCTCCCGATGCGGAGACGCGTTCTGTAGATGAGCGGAAGGCGGATCCGGCCTGAGAAGAGCCGACACGCTGAAACTGTCGCCGGATTTCTTCGGCGGATGCGACACAGGCGACGTCGCGACGCTGACGGGCGACGGCGACGGCGTCGACGACGATCGCGGCGGACTCGAGGTACCCTCGTGATCGTCTTCGTCGCCGACTTCTTCGACGTCCACGTCGACCTCCTCTTCACCGACGTCGACATCCACCTCGGCGTCGCGACGCTCGGGCGGAGGAGAATCGGGACAGGGAGATTGCGACGGCGATGGACTCCTCGTCGCCGGCGAACCCACCAAACGACCCACTCCAAAAGATAGCCGTTCTATAATGTATTATTTAATTTTATTGTATCGGGCTGGTTTCTTTTTCTGTTCTGTTCAATTCGGTCGATTAATCTTTCTATTGTAAATTGAAATACTCTAGATTTGACTCGGCAGCATAACGATCAATTTTGCGTTTATAGATTTCGCACTTTCGAGGTGGACATTTCGTAATCAATAAACCAAAGTTTATACGCCAGTCACGAGACCAAGATGGCCAATGACTGTGCGGACGGTAGTAGGTACGTCACGTATAAAGTACACGCGGGATGTCAGGTACGGAGGAATCCGAAAAAGGAAGACGTCGGGTAAATACAGTTTTTCTGGCGCAAGGACCGGACCGGAATGAAATTTGAGTCACGTACTGGGCCTTCTTTCCCCAGCATGCCGGCGCGAGGGTGTTTAAGAGACGGTCAGGGCACGAGAGGTCGTGACAGGGTCTCATGTTGCGCTAACGAGGTATCGCAAAGAGAGAGCCGAATAGTGAGGTGCCGAGAGCGAAATGTACTTCCGCGATGTTTCGCGAAGCAGTGTCTTTAATGAAATCCCCCGCACACTCTTGCGGAATTCTTCATCCGGCGCAATGTCACGAGTCGTGATTAATCCTTAACAGCATAGTGAGATAAAATTATGCTTGAGTGATAACATGATGAGAAACATCGCACGTCTCTAGTTGCAGTAAATTTTTTCCACTATATTATTTATTATATATTTTTGCATGATGCAACAATTGCACAATAGTCCGAAAGTAAATTTTTATTATAGTACTATTATAGTCGTTATCAATCATTAATGCAATCATGTGCTAGATGATATGTCACATAATTATAGCTCTGATGTCCCATGATTGTTTAATTTATAACGAGGAGATTAAGCTTTTATCATTATTGGAATATTATATTAATATTTTCACGGTGACAGTTGCAAATTGCATCGCAATTTCGGTATCGCGTGTCAATCGGAATTTGCTGTACTCTCTGATTATCAAATCGATGATTTTCGACGCAGCTTTGATTTGTATATCGCGTCATTTTATCTGTCGACCTGTTCAAACGAAATATGATTCAATCGTGAATTTTGATGTGTTTGTTAGATTAAGCACGCCGAATATATTTGCTTTGTTTCGTTATCATTGTGACATAGATCCGACGAAAAATTTTGGAGAAATCTAGATTCGATTACAAGATATGATTAGCAGAGTGTAAAATGCGACTCATTTCTTTTTTGCATTATCTTGGATAAGCATCTATATATTTTGAATGTTATAAAAAATTGTTTTTTTTGCGTTGTTAAAAATTGAATAGTTATCAATTTTATTAGATTTCTAATTAGGACTTAAATAATATAAGCAATTTAAAATATATCCATAAATCTAATAAAAATTATAATTCTGGCACCAATTATTATTCAATAATACTAGAAAATAAAAGCTATTACGAGCCGAGCTGGATGCAATTGCTCCTTTTCATTTATTAATAATATTATATCTCCACAAACGTTTCGACCATTCGGGTTGTGGTCATCCTCAGTGTGTTGAATTACAATTCCATTAAAATTATTTTATTCATTATTCTTACATACTATTTGTTTATACAAGTTAGTCCGCCAATTGTTTACAAATTTACATTAAAATTATAAATTTGATCATCTACAGTCTTGCTATTTAAATCTACTGTGTACTCCGTCTTTGTAATTTTGATTCTTTTCAAACAATCAGTCCATATCTATTTATAAATTAAGCGTCACCTTGTGATTACTTCAAATTAATTTACTCCAAATTAGAAAGATCAAAAACAACATATAGAAAAAAAAAACGAAAAAGATCCGAGAAACCACATATTTCCATAAAATTTATCATCCATAATATTTCTTGATAAAACTGTATGATATGAAGAATAAATTCTTGTCAAACTTGATAAAATGTCGTTATATATAAAATAAGTAACTTGTGACTTTCATAGTGGAGCTGAGTGTCATTGCTAAGAGAAAGACTAGATATGCAGTGTAAACCCAAAAACTTATGGTGGGGAGAAAAGGAGAAGGATGAAATTGTCGAGAGGAGAGGAATTTTGAAGGCAGTTAACATAAAAAATTGTTAGATAGGAAATTTTTTTATTACTGGCAAATACGTGTTAGGAAAGAATTCCGTATCGCTTTATTTATTAAGGCCTGAAATTTGTCTCTTTATATGAATCATCTCGGAAGTCTTTTATTATAAGATGGCTCTTTGTCTAATATTTCCACCTTGTTCCAATTGAAATCGTGTGAAAAAAAAAAATAAATTTCACTTATAAAATCATCGAGAGAGATAGCGATGTAGAGATTCTCTACATTAAAATAGATACGTTTGAAGTGGTCAGAAAATTATTTGCAGCATTTCTAATAATCACGATATGTTTCGTTCGCCCTGATTTACGATGTCGAATGGATCAGAAATCGGGCACGCGTGCACCGCGCCACGCGAAAAGAAGGGCGAGAACTTCGGTTCTATTTCATGGTCCCTCTCAGCAATTTCGACCACTCATATTGCGTCTCTCGCACGTACCCGGTATATTATATTTATAATCCGTGCGCGCGACACGCGGTCACGTGCCGGCCTGTATGATGCACCGGCGTCGGTTAATCGCATTTAAAGCTCTCCGCGAACCCCGTCGTTGGGGTCGATTATTATCGTGTCTCCTGGTGGCTTTGCAATCGAATCAAAATACGACTCGAGTCAGAGTGGGCTAATGTAATGAGAAACGCGCCTCGCGCCTTCGGGGATCTGTCCGAGGAGACAGATAGGTGCTTTATAGCACCGGTCAAAAACACAAAGGAAGATGCAAAGAGGGGTTAATGAAATTACCAACATTACACATCCGACTTCTTTTTCTCGTTTTCTCCACACTGACATATATTAAAAGCTATATTAACCTAATTTAGGATTTGTATTTTCGTAGTTTCAAATTAGTAGCATGATTAAATTTCGAAACAACTTTGCTCATAATTTTTTTTAATCAATTTGCCTATAAAAACATGTATTATTGATCTGACTACAAAAATATATTGGCAATATATATTTTGATTATTTTTTATTAAAAAATTTTTCTGTTGCTTAGAAACAGACACTTCAAACTTGATATTGTATTAATAATTTATTACTGCGAAATTAAATTGGTAGGCAAAAATTAATTGCATCCAAATTTGACAATCATGAAAACAATTCTGTTGCGTCGTTTCATTATTACAAAGAAAAGTAGAGGGAGATCGCGACGAGAATGAGCAAAAAAGAGAAAGTCCGGACATATGTGACGCGTAGCGTGATAGGAAGAACTGCTTACGCAAATGCCGGGTCGAGTGGAATGCACTAAAAACTGGCGGTGCAAACCGGCGAGAAAAACGGTCTGCAACCGGCAGATGGGTTAACTCTGGTCCGGGTTTGACGGGAGTAAGCGAGTTTACGCACACGTGCATCTGACACTGCATCGAGATGCATCTCACGTGGTCCGTAGTGGCTTTCGGACCCCCGAGTGCAGTGAATGAAACTTCTTGAATCGACTTCGAAATCGTTTTTGCCATCGCGGTTTCGCCACCGATGCGCGTCGCCGTTCGCCATATTTGCGCAAAGTGCTTGGCGTTATTTATGGGATGAACGAGACAAAGTTATCAAACTATAGTTTATACGAACGATAATAAATGATCTGACAAGGAAAAACTTCTTGTTCATTAAATATTAATTAATCAAATTATTATTCCAAAATGTAAAATAATTCTACTCATCATCATTATAACAATTTAAATAAAATCTTCAAAAAAAGTAAAATATAATAGTTGAAGATTATAATATTTTGAAATATAAAAATATAATTATTTTTATAACATTTAAATATTAAGAACAAACTCAGGATATATTCACTTCATTTGCAAATATGTAAAAAATAAAATTTTGATTTGCATCTTTGATCGATATTGTGATATTATTTAATAGCCAAATTCAATTCGGACGATTTCATCGTTTATATTAGCGTTTCTTGCGGTAAATCGGCAGACTGGCTCGTGACAAGGGGCTGACGACGATGCCGAAGATGGTTGTGGACGTGGATTAATAAAGGAAGGCCAAGCCGGGGGGACAATTAGATCGAGTTAACGGCCAACTTTAATCTTCTGTCGTCCGTCAGTCGTTTACTGCGTAGTGATCTGCCGCTATTAAAGCCGTTACACACTTCAAACCCCTTCCGTGCTGCTGGTTCATGGAAAGGAATACGCGACCTTTGACGTATAGGCAGCGTCAATAGAGGCGAGTGACAGGACGATGTGGGTTTTCAAAAACGGATTTTTCATCCGGCCGTCAGTAGCTATTTAAAGCTAATGCTGTCACGAGAGACGATATCGGGGTACACTTGTGAAAAAAATGGGATTCACGAAAGGATTTTAATTCAAATAGATTTTGATTGAAGATGATAAATCATATTTGGATAGAAAAAACGTGAATATTTTATCAATAATTCAAGAGAGATTGTTGAAGATCCTCATTTTATTAACGCGATATTTTAATCATAACAGACCTGAGGGTACTTTTGCTTTTTCTTATATGTGAAAATTCTAAAATGAATGTTTCTACAGTTTCCTAATATAATCTCCCGCATTTCCTGCAATAAAGATAACAGTGATAATGTAAATAATAATACGATATTGGTTGATGTTTACACGACGCAAATCTTGACGGAGCAACGGCGATGAGAGCACGATAAAAGTATCGTGACTGATCTTATCACGTTCGAAAATGAACGAGACAGATGAATGGCCACGTGCACGCTCGCGCGCGCTGAAAGAGTAGGAAGAGAATATGCAGGGGCATTTAACATGACAAGATGTTACTAATTCTGGGTAGGTACGAGCACAAAGGGGCCGACAAACCGAATCCCTGTGCCCGCGCCTCTAATCCGCTCCAATTGGGCCGGCAGGAGTTAGAAAGGCCCATGTCCGTCCGCGGTATGACGCGTGCTACCATTTATCCCAATCGTCGACGACGACCGGTCGTTCTTAATGATCGGCAAATAAAAACCCGCCGTCATCCGGGCTGAAGAGGAAGCCGCCATCGGGGCGAAAGGTCGGCGCTACACCCGCGCGTCTACACCTTTCGGAGAGAAGCAAGAAGCAGCAATGAACAAAGAAATACAACGATTGCATTGTATAACGACTTGAAACATGATAAATTTCAAAAACATTTAAGAGAACATTTAATGTCAGTCGAAAGAAAATCAGGAAGAATCGGATGTAACACTTCCTCATGAAGAAAATATAATGATCAATAAGTATTAATAAATGATAAATATTTGTTTCAATATATCGTAATATAAAAATTGCATATTTCATAATTTTCAATTTTAATGTTTTTCTTTTTCAATATAAAATACACATTGGGATGAATCAAGATAAATTTGTTTCTATGTGCATTGGATAAAATGGATGAAAACGATGGATGATACATAATATAATAGAATATCTGAATTTAACACTCCCCTGACGTCAAGTGCGAAAAGTCGAGGGTGCGCAAACGCGCCTATGTTCGACGTCGAAAGATTTCTTCACTGTATCATAATTGGATTGAATACACGAACTTGTCAATAAAATAGATTACAAGCATTTTCATAGCACACATACCTGAGTGACTTTTCGGTAAAGGTGGGAGATTTGTAACCTCCGTGGCATTCCCGAAAGGCGCCCATAGTCTCGGGAACATTAAACGAACGTTACATCCTCCTGAAAGGAACAATATCACAATATTAGAAATTTAATTATACAAATAGATATTTTATCAAATAATTTGATTTCAAAATTGATAAAACAATAGTAATAGTTATTAAAATTCAAATATTGAATTTCGTATATTATAGATTTATTAATAATAGTGAATATATCCGTCATTATACCGTTAAGTTACGCTTGACTGAGTATTGGAAGACAAGATATGCAAAGTCCGATATGTAAAAATAATGATGCAAATGACGAGAAGATCACGCATTTCTTTCCAATCATTTATGCATCGTTACTCCGCCAACCACTATGTCGTAGTGTACGTCTCAAGTCTCCTGACAAATTTAGTATTCCTAGTTCGTAGGAAAGATCAACCCCTCGACAAGAGCGTCTTTATTAGAAAGGAGGAGAAACCCTCTTCTATTTATCAACCTTGCCCCGGCCATTACTCGCTCTCTTTCTCCCCGAAACCTGCATTCCTATCGCCGAACATCCGAACATCCATCCTGGTTGGTTTCTTTGATCGTTCTGCTAGAGCATCAAAGTTCGAACTTCACGCCAATTTGCCACTCCGATGATTAATCAGCGAAACGCTTCGCCTCCGTTTTTCGCTTGGCGCGCAGCATGTCTGATTAATTTTGGCATTTATATCGCTGTATTAAATTTACAGCAAATCTGATTATATAATTATGCGCGGCAATACTTTTGTGAATTAATGAGCGGCCACTTCTGTGCACAAAGCAATCACAGGCATAATTACAACGCTTCGATATCTAAAATTTATATTTTATATTAAATCGTGAAACGTTAACGGGAATACGGAGTGTGTATAAACACACAGGTATTCATTTTATTGCCCAATAAACCAACGGTTAATCATTTCCGATATCATGACAATGTGTAGAAGCAAAGAAATCTGCAACCATGGCAATGTGGTATTAATCGCGATAGTAGAGAGAAGTTGTGGTTCAGCCGACAAACGATCATGCCGTAATCCGTGTCGACTTTTTTTACATAGATGCGATAAAATATCAAATCCGAGCTTTACGACGATGAACGTAATCCAGACCCTATCTAATCGTTCAACTTGATCGCACTAAATCAGATCTATCTTTTGCTATATATTGGTGCCGTATGCGTCATTCAATATCGCTTCATTTCACTATCGAATAAGGGCAAAAAATCTGCTCATCAAGAGTGAAACATAAAATAAGAAGTTTTATTCATCCAATAATAAATAAAATTGTTAATATAAAACAAAGTATACTTTATACTAGAATTTTTTTGAAAATAATAAATATATATATACCTACGCTTTAATCGCATTGATTGCGAATACTTATCTTTGAATTGATTGATTTTTGATAACTAATTTCCGTGATATTGGAGTTAATTATTTAGCCAGTTAGTTATTAAAACTAAAATATGTCAAAAATTGATAACAATTCCATAGCAAACAACAAAAGATAAATTATTTATATAAAAATGAAAAAGAATGTTTTGATAGTAAAAATGTTTTTATTATTTATTTCAATTTATATATATAATTGTGAAATGTAATGGAAATTCTTCACAAAATAATAAAGATTTACTTATCATTCCATATCTTCGAAATATAATAATTCTCGATAATTGCCATAAAGATTAAATGTATCGATCAATGTTGGAGCTATCGGACTACAGTTTGTTATGCCAAGAATCAACAAAAAAAAAAAAAAGTAATCGAGAGAAATCGGTAATCCGGGCAATATAGAACTGACTGGGATAATCTGAGATAGCATGGAGAGATTAGACCTTCCACAAAGGTTGTCTCATTCTCGCAGGATTATCAGAAATAAATCATATTTTCCTACATAGCCGGTGTACCATGCGCTGAAGATAAAGTCGAATATACATTGATACGTGTGTATACACAATGCAGGTAACTCAGGTGTTTGTCAGCCAGCGGACAGCATTGGCGCTTACTATGCTATCAGGATGGTTTACTCGCGCGACGCTTATTCTGCGTGTGTAGTCCGTTTCGTGCTATCGTACTGTCGTAAATCTATAAAATGGCGAAGCCAACGTGATTTGCTGTGAAAACCGATAAAAATAATCGTGATTGAGCCAGAGCCGGAGAATCAGTGTAATTAAAATCGAGATAATCATGTGAAACAAAAAATAATTCGTACTGAAACACTTTTGCATTGTAAAACAAAAAAAAAGGACGGACGCAGGATATATTGAATAAAAATACATATTAGAAAATTGAACTTTTTAAATCGTCGCACAAGGGAGAGAATACTGTAATGTTTTAATGAATAAACATTCAGACAATCGCGTAAGCTACAGAGATTTAAATTTAATCATCTCTCTTTTACAGAGAATCACTTTCTTTTGTATTTAAACGCGCAATCACGAACTCTCAATAATTCTCTACAAATGAATAGATAAATCTACATTTGAGAATGAAGATCCCAAGTATGTAGGCGGGTACAAACAGTAGATGAGCGATCAACCCTCTCGACGAGGTGCCCATCACCTGGCAATTATGGCTTAAACCGCTTAGCTCGACGCCTATAGCCCAATGTTATTGCGTTTAGCCTGTTACCGCGATTAGTGGCATATTAGTATAGGCAGGCGTCTAATGCCAGCCATCCCCTCTCACCTGTTGAACAGACCGTTGTACACGACGACGGCCCCTACGCACCTTTACGCGTGTATTCGTGCGTACGCTTCGAAACGCCGCGTGCGCCGCTCGCTGCGATGCGTGTCAAGCTTAGGCGTCGACGCGAGCTACAAGAGCTAAACGCGTAAACGCTACGTTGCAAGGATAATAGGCAGGTAATAGATAGGATGATGACAGGCGGGAGATGAGCGTAGGGTGAGCGTCAGGGGTCGCCGCTGCGGCAAAACGGCACGTCAAAGGCTTTTGAGCGCGCGATATGCGTTTCGGCTGGTTATTTCCAATATGGGCTTTCTCTGCGGGACATGTGTCGTCAATGTACATCCGCATTCCCGTGCTTGATTGGTTTGCGGGGATGTTCCGGTTAGAATAATTGATGGCACTGGGTTTTCAATTGCGAAAATATAGCGTTCGTAAATACGCGAATGCAATTGACGAAGAAATAAAAATTTTAATATCATGTTGTGTATCTTTTTGTATTCTTGAAAAATCATGTAAAAATTAACATGAACAATTTTCTTTCTTAATTGACAATCTTTAGTTAGTAATAAATCATTTTGATGGAATTATTTTTTAAGATTTCAGCAAAATATTTTATTACGTCTTATAATTCCAAATCACTTTTATGTAATTATAGCAAGAAAATTTATTTTATTACGCTATCCTTATATGAAATCGTTAATGTAAATAGAGAAATTATTGCTCAACTATTTTTTACGTTAACAATATTAAAATTGTCACAAAGCATTCAGAGTAAAAGCTTGCAATTTTGCGACATCTTTCATCGCTATATAACTGATATCATCGATAGTTCAACTTGGATAAATTATTTAGAAAGCCTTACCTTCGACGTCAATAGGAATCTGCGGATTCTCCTGTAGGTTTTCGTTGTTGTTGGTTTCCGGCGGCAGCGGTTGCTGGTGCACGAGCGCCGAAGCTGGTTGCTTGGGCTTGACAACGCGAAACGCTGACGCCTCGGCAACCCCTCGTCTTGAAAAATCTAACGGACCCACCCCGACAGGCGAGTGTTGCTGCTGCACTTCCATCATCCTGGACCTCGAGTCCGTTCACCCTCTTACAACTCCCGCGTCACTCCGCACGACATTCGCATTCTTCTTCACTACGTTCTTACAATCTTTATGCTTCTTCGGCAATAAACAAACAATACACGATTTTCGATCTTTTGACTTTCAATAAAACTGCAGAGGTTCTTTGCAGACTGCGACCATCTGTCATTGGAGGATGCTACGCGTCTTGGGAAAATATTTCTTCAGGAAACAGCGATGCAATTTGATTCTTCAGGAAGGAGAGAGCTCCCTTCTCAAGGAGCAATATATGCAATCGTTCGCGTCGAATAAAATCCTTTCTCCAGACTATCTGTTCGCGGACTTCATTCTTTTAAGAATCGCATCCAGGCGTCAATCTCGAAGCAATGTTCTCAGCACAAGCACTATACGAGTCCTTTCGCGGGCACAGTCAGGACACTCGAGTCAGTGGTGTAAGCAGGCCTGCTGATCGCGTTTTGTCAACACCTGGATAGGTCCCCGTAGGACAGCTCCTGCCGGCTTCGCGACGATGAATACGTGTCGCGCGAAAGACGGAGCTTCCGGTTGTCAGTTGACACTGATTTCCGTGCGGTCCACCGGCCTGACAGAACAGGGTCGGGAACGGCGGAGCACCGGCTCAAGCCCGGGGATGTGAGCGACGTTAGCCGTTAGAGCGGGTGCCTCGACGCCGACTGCTGTTAACGGGTCTGATAGTGGAGGGACTCCCATGCGACGACGGCCGCGAGAGCGGCGGACGTGGAGATGGAGAGAGACGAAGAGAGCTCACACGAACGACGCATACACGGAATCGGCGTCTATACGGAGAGGGAAAACTTACACAGATGTCCGATGCACATCGGGATTTTGGTCTCAGGCACCGCCTCCCGGGCACGCCCTCGCCGTCTCTACTCCACCCACACACACACTCGGGTTGTCCCGTGTATTCGTGATGGTGGCCGCACGAACCAACACTCCGATGATCGTCGATCTATGAGCGAGGAGTGGGGCAGCGACGCTACCGAGCGCTACCGGGCGTCGCTGTTCCGACGCCGCGTGTGGGGTTGCTGATAGGGCTGCGCGTTTGTGTGCAGTACGTGAGTTCGCGCGCGCCACCGAACTGCACAGCCACCGAACACGAGATACACGTTGCGCGCACTACGCTCTCTCACCTCCGGTTGCAGCATTATGTGGAACCACTCGGCCACCCTGATTCTCCACTCTTGACTCCACTGATTGATATTTGCGCGCTGCCCTCGCACACTTGAACGTACCTGCACGTACACCGCGCGGTGCTCGTCCTTCAACACCCACCATGAGGGTGGATGCTAGATGCAAAGAGCGAACTTGGAAAATTTAAGCAACGGGAGCGAGGTGAAAGAGAGGTTGCGCTTTTATGGCCGCAAGGATAATCTCCGATATTTCTCGGGAGATGAGATTTCGAAGGGGATGAAATCTTCGTGGTTGGTTGAGAAGTTCTTATCATCCATCGCTATTTCAGAGGATTGTGTTTTTAGGCGATATTCGTTTGAAAAAGCAAAGAGCGTGGAGGAAGAGAATACATAAATAAACTGCAGAAAATCAATTGCATGTAAAGTTTAGAAAGAGTTTAATATATGTGCGATGTAGCAATAATTAATTAGCGCGGAAAAATATATTTTATATAATTATAATTTTATCTTATAATTTCTATGCATGACGACAGATTTAAATTGTGTTGTGAGAAAAGTTAAAATTCTCATTGAAATCTTCGCAATCTTGAAATAATTAATATTAATTAATTAATTATTTAGATTTAATTGTCTCTATGATAGATTTTTTTCTTCAAGTTATGAGTTTACTATAATATTAGCTTTTCTGAAATCGAGTATATAATTGATAGGAATGTCGAGAATCTTTTATGATACGTTTTGGAGGGATAAATCCGAAGCGATATCGGATGGCAATAAAATTTATCAAGTGTCAAACAGTTTTAACGTTTAATCGCTTGCCGAAATGTCTACGGTATTTCCCGAACTGACGTGACTACCATCTGATAATCCAGAATTTTCGGTGCAACGACACCTCGCACATTCTGATAAGACACTGTGTGCAATAGGCTCAACTTTGTTGCCAGAAATATTTGCTGTGTCATTGTACTTATCACCTTTCCTGTATGTTAAACATGCGCGCATATAGAAAGCGCATAAAATCCTCTCGCATGAAAAATCTTTCAGCTGCATTAATATCATCGATACATTAATTCGTTGTATTTCTCCCACTTGTGTTCTTTCGACTCGATAAGAAATGAGATTACTCGTTTTCATTTTTCGTGCATTTATTTATCGTGATAATGATTGCAAAATTTCATTATGAGATTTTTGCGCATATTTTGCGCATACATGCAAATATCATGACCAAAACATTAAACTTATATTTTTATCACTTATTATTTTAATAATTTTAAACGCAAATCTTAAAGTTGCAGATGCAGTGTTGGGATCTCTTGCGAGTAGCACAGTTACGATGTAACATTTTAGCTCGTATTCATAAATTAATATGATTCACGGCAGAATTTAATTATCATGCTACATGTTTGCCCGTCTTAATGCGACACAGTAACGAAACGAACGCCACATGTAACAGAATTCAAACATTGGCCTGTTAAAACTGTGCTTTTGTGAAGTATCTCGCATTCGTTTCACACAATAATAACATGCTGTGGCAAGGCATCTTAAAAATCATTTATGATAATAGTCATGTTTTGCGGACACCTTTTATAATCAATTCCGCGAAAGTATAACGACCAATAAAGAGGATAATGGCATAATCACTTAAGTCGTAACATTTAGATTGCAAGGAATAGATTACGATGCCTGGCGCGGGTGCCCGTCTTCGTCGCATTTTAATTCTGTCGTAAAATTTGCCGCGAAAAGGATGAGTAATTTCGGCAACAGCATTAAATGCTTTTAATTATATACTTATAATTGTAGATAGCTATGCTACGCATTCTGATCTTATAATGACTTAACACTACTTAATTTTTACTGCTAAAAATAATTACTAAAAACTGAAAATAATAAATATTGACTATACAACAACATAATTCACAAAAATGAACTCTCCGGGCTGACACATTCTTCTTCTCCTTTTACAAAAGTTTTTCCTGATCTACGTAACTAAGAAAAGCTTAACTAAATTCCTCCGAGAAGATGATACTCCGTGTTTCTTGTGGTGGTTCATTCTGCGTGCGTACTCTAGAAAATCGAGGCGCAACGGTTGTAACATTACTTCTGTCGCGCGGCTGAATGCGCAAGGTGTAGCCGGATGTAGCACCGAGAGTGTCGTCGTCGTCGTCGTCGTCGTCGTCGTCGTCGTCGTCGAGGGCGTAAGTATCCGCGAGCGTGACGCGAGACGAGATGTTGAACGTCAGGCGAGACCGACAAACCGCATCAATCATACTCACTCACTCACTCGCTCGCATCGTCGTACGTTCTCCCTGGAGCACCGACGTTGTTCCGGAGCCGCTCTATATCTTCGGGAGAAAATTGCTTACTCTCATACTGCGCATACGGGAACGCTCCCGGTAGCGTGCGAAAAGCCGTACGGCAACCCCGATGTCGGTCTGTAAGAAAAAAAGAGAAACGACAGAGAAAGAAAAAAAGGGTATAAGCGAGAATAAAAGCGTGACGGTAAAATTGCGAGATCATGACCAAGAAATTGACTGCGCAAAGATTCTTTTATTTCTATTCAGAACAAGTAGAATTTTTACCGTGCGTAGATCTAAAAAATAGTCATAAATAGTCAGATCTATATTTGCTAATTGAATATAATGTGTAGCAGAAAATAATTAACAGCAATATCTGACTCATTTATATATTATTATTTCATTTTTTTTCTTAATGTTTAAGAAAATTGTGATAAGAGAAGTAAAAAGATATCCAAACATCTGAATAAATATATGACATTATGTACTTGATATAAGTCACTTGATATGCATATCTGGACATAATCTCTAAATATCTAGACACAATCTAAATCTAATATTTAAATCGCTATATCTAAATATATAACTAGAAAATATTTCAAAACAAAATAATATTATGAAACGGAACACGTCAAGTTACAAAAATGTTATCCTTGACAAAAATAATATCTATAATTTCCGGATTACGGTTTAATTATTGATACTGTGTATCCGAGATTGCTTTCGTTTATTTAGGTATACATGTAGTTTATATTTCCCGAATGTGATTTATAACAAATGTCGAAAGATAGGTTTATCTGTCAGTGTACACATTCAGAAATGAAATAAGCATATCTTTGCCGTTATATTTTTAGAGCTACAATAATCTTTTTTCTATGTTTCAAAGTAACCTTTTTCCATTTTTACTAACGGAAGAAAAGTTGTGGCAAAATCTCTCGATCATGATCAACTGTGGCTAAACCAATTTGTCGCAGGAGAAATCACCAGTATTCTGACACAAACGCGAGGTATGACATCATCATTATTGGTGATTTGTATTAATCGAGCGTCGATACGCCTGTCACCGCGACAACGGACGCCCACATGTATATAAACTGGCACTACCTTGGCAAACTAGTTCAACAACGCCGGATGTACAGCGGGCGGCCGGCTGGCGCCACGAATTTAGTACTTGATTGTCCCGTTGAACAATTGTTTCGCCGGTAGTAAAAGGGAGAGGATACCGCGGGTGTTGCGTCTTCTCTCTCTCTCTCCCTTCTTCTTCTTCTTTCCCGTCGGAGCGGACGAGACGCGCGACGTACGCAGCGTGACTCACTCTCAATCAAGAAGAGAAACATATTAGCGATTGTCTTTACCAATTGGGGATATATGTGGGTGATGGTTATCGCCGTTGGCGGAGAACGATACGTGTAAAATACGGTATTGTGAAGCGACGCGTACAATTATCACGCATGTGCGCGAGCGCGCAATGTGGGCATAATCGCGCTCTCACACGCGGGGCGCGCAGATGGACCCCTGCGGGTAGACGAACGATCGTTTTACCGTAAGCATGCGCTATCTGGAAACTAATTGGCAGAAATTGGTCCAATTTAAACCGATTAATCCGGATCCAGAGGAAGAATCCGGCGCAAGTATCGGTCGATCGGTGCTGATTCGATTAAGAGAGACACTTTAGACTTCGGAATATTTAGCACTATTGCTGTATTAATTTCCAACGTACTGCAAACTCCAATTTTATAACAGTTTTACAGCATAATTAGATTTTTGGATAATATTTTCCACACTTGTGTGTAATACAAAACAAAACAGTTTTAATTAAATATTTAACCTTTGTATGCAAATTGAGACATTAAATTCCACAGTAATATGTTATCGTCGCGGCATCTCATATAATGCAAAATAATCTCAACATTGTGCAACAGATTCTAAAATGGGTAACAATGGTGATAATACTATTGACATTAACAGAAGAATTACTGTATCACTGCTTATCTAATCGGCCACGCGATCCTATCGCCGATATACATGATTTAAATCCAGAAAGATCGATGGATCCTCGCGCGAGAATTTCTGACCAACAAAAACGTTCCGGAACGATCAAGCCTCTGTGTGTCATTGATCATGGCAAGATTGCGGTTGAGTTCACCATACGAAAACAGCTCTCCGATCGTTTTTGTGCAGCTTTGAAACAAAGCTTTCGTCGAGTCATGT